TTGAATATTTTGATTTTAAATGAAAATTATAAATTAATCTTTAGGATAATTTAACCAAGAACAAACGTGATAAGAAAGAAAATAGTGAGAAAAAAATTACAGATTGTGGAAGAATTCCTGTTCAAAGTGATGTTAATACTGAAAATAAAAACTGTGTAAAACTAAAAATAAAAAGTGCTAAAACTCAATTCAAAGACAGCAAGGAAAATGCAATGGTTATCAAAGAAATTGCTGATAAAGTAAAGAATAATGAAGATTTATTAATAAGAAATGTGAATAAATCAGAAAATATAGAACTTGTAAGTAATGATGTAACTAAACTGGAAACTACTGTAATTACAGAACCACGTAATACAGAACATTTGAAACTGGCAATTGATAATTTAAAATCAATGCTAGAAGAAAAAGAAAAAATCCAAGAGGAACTACAAAGAAAGTTATTACTTGCTGAGGCACAACTTAAAGAAAACAAGAAAGAAAATACAGTAAATAAATTTTTTTTATTTAAAAGACATTTTATTTTTATAATCTATTTTATTCTGTATAAAATTCCTTTCTTATTATTTATATTTTAATTTAATATAATTCAAAATATGAATTGGTAGTAAATTTTTGTCACATAGTCATTAAAATAGCTTTATTTTGCCATAGTAAAAATTGGGCATTATTGTATAAAATGTAAAAGTCAAATATATTTGACTTTTATATAAAGACTGTACTAAAAGCAACAGCAGTTAATAATATGTCAATTTGACAGGACAGCTGTCATGAAAAGATTGATAATGTTTTAGTAAAGAGAGAAAAAACACTATCTTTATTAAAATAATGCTGTCAAGATTTGTTGATTTTTCCGAATGAGTAATGTTTCCCATTACTCATTCGGAAATATTATCAATTATACTGTATAATAAGCAAGCCATTAGCAGAAAAATAATTTTTCTGTATATAAATGTATAAAATTTTAAATGGTTTTTAAATAGACAAGCATCTATAATTGGTATTTTATCAGGGAGAATTTCCAAGAAAAAATGAAAAACTATAGACTTTAAAAAATGTTAGCTGGAACTTTTTAGCAATTTAAAAGTTCATAAGAATCAGATTTAATTTACCTTGTTTGAGATCATGTCATAAATGACAAAATAAATTCACTAAACTGTATTTCAGTATTGGGTGAAATGTCATAATTTTTTTAATAGCATTTTTCTCATTTATAAGAATACTAATGTTGCTTGAACATTGATTTTATTAGAACTGTTCATAATGAGCAGTTTTTCACACTAAACTGTCTTTTGCTACTTTCTTAAAAGTCACAAAAACATTGTTTTCTCAAACTCATTTTTGTTCTATGGCAAAAGTCAGTAGATTAATGGCAAAAGTCAGTAGAAAATTGCCTCAGAGCAATTGTCAAAATCTGCTAACAGATACACTAGTCATTATAGTTGTAATTTAAAAAATGGCACCACATAATTCTCCTAAAAGACAGAGATATCAACCAATACAATGTGTAATAAATATGAAGTAAAAATTAAAATGCTTTTCATTGACAGTCTCAATGTTTAAGATTTTTTCTTTTTTTCTTCTTCTAAATACAGTATCAAACATTGTACTTACATACAGATTTATTGGATTAATCATATTTCATATAGCAACATTTAAGATTAAATGCTCATTAATAATTTTCTGATTATTATCTGAACACCGCTTATTTATCACTCTTATTGCTGTATGACTCTAATGAAAAAGAAAATTTCTTTCATTTATTGTGGCATGTTAATGCTATCATTTAGTCACTGACATCACTAGATGGTGCCCCTGAGAGTTAGCTATTCTCTTGTTTGCATGGTCCTTTAGAGATTCATCTCAAAATAGAGGACATTCTCTCAATCAGGAGTAGTAGTATATTCTGGGAAGATGACTAACTGTAGTCAAGCAAGTGATAGTTGTCCCCACCAAATTACATCTTTGCCAGTAACTCTGAGCATATCTCTGCAGGCTGTTGCTGTGCACCTGTATAATGTTATGAACCTAACAGTAGCCCTCTGAGCCCATAAATATAAGGGATCTTGATTCTCTAATAGCTTAGCTGCCAGTTCCATTCCTATAATGGCCATCATGAGCTTTGTGGTTGCCTTGATGTGAACCCAAGGAAGAATTGTTGAAATGTTCATACATGATCACCAATTGCACTTTTCAACACAAGCAGTTACATTTACTTTCACACATCTTGTGAAAGTAATGAGGAATGATCCTATAGAATTCTACCAAAGTAAATTTAATATTCAGGAAAAAAAAAACACTTGAGCTTAACTGTTGTATGCTGCTAGCTTTTAAATGTAGAACTATGTCTGGGCTGCATAGTAAATGGAAGTTAAGAAAAACAAAAACAAAATTATTGTATAATCTACAATGGATTATACATTTATTTTGTTTCTGTCACAAATTCCACACACTTGTCTGAACAGGTTGTCCAAAGAGTCTTTAACCCTGGGCTAGTGCAGTGGGGTGTTTCGCCACCCCCAACGTTTTAAAAGTTGCACTATTCATAGATTTTACAAGAAATATTTGTGTCCTCTTCAGTAGCTTCATGATTTTATGTATAGAGCATGCTCAGAAATTACTACGATGCTGCAGAAATTCCAGTAAGAGAAAAACAACAGTTCTCANTACAGACGATAGCAAATTCTTCATAGCGTGGCACTTGACGGCGGAAAATAGTTCGGCTGCCCGATGACGTTTTACGTAATTATAGAAGTTTTTTTACAGATACCGTCGCAATTTTTTCACAGTTTTATAGGAATCGTAATTATAGGGGGGTCTACTGTATCTAATTTATAATAGAAATTACAACACTGTCATCTACGTTAAATAAGAAACCATTGACATTTTTAACCATCTAAGTGTGACGATGCGCAAAGTGCCCCCTATGCTTTGGCATCATGGGACGAACTAGTCATCACAAATGTGATGACTAGTGTGTCAGGACTGACACCATTGTCTTCTAGGATAGACACAGAAACCTAGATGGCCGCTAAATTCGTTTTTTGCGCGAGCGGTTGCATTGTGGGCGCTTGGATCCAATGGAGGCGGTATGGATTAAAGAAGTGCACCAAACACAAATTAAACAATAACAATTATCTGTTTATTTACTGTAACCTACTGCAATTTATACAAGCAAGGTTAATATCTTGTATTTAAAGTTTAAAGCTTCCTCGTGAGTTCTAATCTGGAGAGAGAGAGAGCTTACATATAAGTTACAAAAATACCTTGTAATGCACAGATTGATGGAGTTCACTTGAACGGAGGAAGATTGCAAAGGTGTCCGAATGTTGGGCAACCCTGGCGATGGCGAACTTTCAATGACAACGGACTCTTGGACAAACAAACTGTCCCCTGGTCAGGCGGATGAACTGCCATCATCATCAGTCATTGCTTTTTATTGAGGTCCTCCCTTTTTCGTTTATTGCTTCTTGTTGGCAATGTTGCAACACCTATGTCCAATAGCAATTTTTCATCGCCAAATTCTGGTGACACGTTCGATGTATCCTCTTGAAATGGAAGTGACTCCAGAAAAGGATAAAATCATATCCTTTACAATTTTAACAATCATGGGAAAAATTATAGCAAGTTTTAATTTCAAAAGTTAAATTTTCACCCACAAGATTTTTGTCAAGCCTGGACTCTCACATAAGCATTTAGTTTTTTAGACTTTAACTAAAGATTAAGCCGAGATATATCAATATTTATAAATGAATAAGCTTTATTAAATAACAAAAATTAATAATAATATTACAATATATATATATGTTACAGTGAAAGCAGATAGTCAGTGAATGTACACCTTCACAAAATAATCAGTGAATTTGTACTATAGCATTCACAAGATCTCAATTTTTGGTTTGCCCCAAAAAATTGATGCTGAATATGGATCTCTTCAGACAAAACTGTTACTTTAAGGATGATTGCATCTGCCCAATCTTGCAGTACAATCTCTCTTTTTGAAATATTTTTGCACTTTGAAATACCGGAACATGAAGTGTAAATGCAAGAAGAATGGCGCTTTATGCACTTTTAAATATCATAACTCTTCAACTTGCTTCAATAAATAAAAATGTTAATTAAAAGATTTTTTCATTTTATTTTAAATTTACTTTTTACAACGTCAGTCTGTAAAGATTAACAAACACACTAGATACTAGAGAGAGAGTATACAAATATTACTGAATGTGAATTTATTATTTTAAAATGAACAATTTGTTAACTGATTACATTAGTGAAGGTTTACATTCACTAGCAATAGATCGTATTTACTGTGCAATTCAATTCCCTGTAGCATATACAACAGTTGAGAAAAAATTCAAGTATTAAAGAGTACAAGCTTGGGCATAGTGGGAAAATAGATGGTATAACATTCTTTTAAAATTGATTATTTCAAATTGACAATATGCTTTTTCCAATCTTTTCATTGTAATATTCTAAAACTACAAAAATTCTCTTCACAGAAGTGAAGTTCAGTTAATCTATACTAATATTATAAAGAGGTAATGTTTGTAAGTATGTATGTATGTAAGTTTGTTTGCAGCAGGTAATCTCCGAAACTACTCATCCGATTTCAAAAATTCTTTCACCAATATTTAGAATGGAACCTCAGGGTGGACATAGGCTGTATATTATTCCGTTAAACATTCATATAAATTAAAATATATAATCTAGGTTAAGGCTTTTATGTCCAACAGATGGCGCTACGAGTACGGCGCCTTTAGTTTGCTTTTCTGTGAAAATGAACTAAAGCAGATCATCTATCTATCTATATAAATAAAAATATAATGTTCGTTTGTTCCTACCGATTCCTTTGAAATTTTGACACAACGCTGCATTCAAATACGCACGTGTTTTTATATAATATACGTGTCGAAATTCCCCCCCACTGAAGGGAGATGGTTAGGATTAAGGCTTACTGTAAAGAACTCTGCTTCTATTTATACTATTTTAGATGCGGGTTTTTGCGTTTTAATAGGGTGCGTCAACAGAATGTACACTAAGAAGAAATTTTTTGCAAAATTCCCCCCCACGGGGAAGTGTTATAAATTTATAATAGATACATTTTGAGCCACAACAACGCGTGGCGGGGTCTGCTAGTAAATAATATAGTTGTACATAAAAAATATAACAATCTAAACATTTCAGCTCTATAAATTTAATCTTTAAATTAATTAATTTTTGTGAATTAACTCACATCTTGGCACACAGAGTATTAAGAGCTCACTTGGGACGTATATCTGCAAGATACGTAATGCAAATTAATGCAATTTTTATATTTTTATAGATATAATCATAGTCAAGCATATACATCTTCGATTTCTACATTTTCTCTACTATCTAACAGTATAAAATACTTGTGGGTTTTAAAAAATGAGATTTTTATGTATATTTTTTATAATTTGATCTTTAAATGTTAAAAACTAAACTTATCAAATTTCAACTCATT